GAAGAAGTTTCTCCGGTTCATTATTACAAAAAGAACAATTTGGGTTGTCTTTTACGCCAATTTTTGTTAAGAAGTCGTTCGTTGATATTCGTCTATGTAAAAATTTATATTGGAATTCAATAATTCTTGTACTTTTAGTATATTTAGCGGCCAACTGGTAGGCTTCCCGCCAATTAATCGCCTCCACATCATTTTCGTTGCAGTCTTTTAGCCATTTCTGTTGATTATGGGATGGTAACTTGCATTTTGTAGAAAGCAACTTGGTGTATACAAGTTTGCTCGCACTTTGGCATTCTGTTAATCTTACTACAAAGGTTTCATAATTGTTGCAGTTTTTGATACAGTTTGTTTTACATGTAGTCCAATTACTTCTCAGTAATAGGCTAATGGGGATGTGCCGCTGGATGGGGTGGTACTTTCACGGCTGACTATAATGGGGTTAAATCTTCATTAGAGTTACTAGAATGGGACCGCACATTTTACTGAGTTTGGGGGATCAGAAAATTTCGGTATGTAGGGATTTAAAAATGGGAAGATTTTTCGCCGACATCGTCAAGTTTAACCAACGGTGTCAATTCATATCATGATGACCTTTATAAAGAAGATGCATAAACAGAACGTTACTAAGTTGGGATCGCGAAAATTACATTTCCCCAAAAGCGACTAAGTATTTGGCCACAGAATAGACTAACTGGGAACGGGGTATGGGTTCGGTGCTGCACATACCCAGCAAAAATCAACCCAAGTAACCCCCCTCCCCTTCCCCCCGGGAGAAACCATTACCCTGGTTCCATCAGTTCTCGAAATACCTTTTGTGTGTGTGTTTCTTGTTTATTAGCTATGCTTTGCATCAGCTCAATTGTTTCATGTTTTGGGTTAATCATTGATGTCAGTCATCTTCCAATTCCAGTCCATTAACAAACATCTCGCTATATCGATCTGGGGTTGATGTCTGACCTAACGTATCTAAATGATATTTTTCTGTACAGGTATCAAAGGCCTAAAGCCGGATGTTATTGTTGGGGATTCACATTTCAGTTGCAGCGGAGTTTTAAATGATCTTCTAGATTCTAAGCTCGTTCTTATCTGCCCGTCTGGATTAACGCATGGCATGTTACCAATTTTCAAGAACCCCAACCCGTTATCATACGCACCTCAGCCGTTCTCAGGCTTACACAATCAGATGGACTTCAAGGGTCGAATGATAAACGTTGCTGGGTGGCTACTGACTAACTTTGTTGGGCGGGTGTTTATGTTTCCAGCTGTAGACAAGATAAAAAAGGAGTACAATATCAAGCCAGAAGTAAGCACAGAAGAAGCACTAGGAAAGGCGGAGCTTATGCTTGTGCAAACGCACTTCGCCTTGGATTTTCCAAGGCCACTTACTCCATGTATGTGGTATTTAAAATGATATATCAATTTCAATTTATACTGATATTTTTGATTGATACAGTGAAACAAGGGGCAAGCAACAAGGTACAGTTATAGTTTGTATTCTGCCATGTCAAGTGTCGCGGGCAGTTTTATTGGGCGGATCTCAAGTACAGGTCACATTCCACCGATCAAGAATACAGGTCACTGCTCCATCGATTAGTTACCAAACCACACAGATCCCCCTTAATGAACAGAGCATTTTGTTAAGAGATTAGGGCTAGGAGACACTTATAATACCGTTCATTTATCTGTATCATGGTGACCTGTACTCTTACCTGTGGAAAAGTCAGGCCTTTATTTTAGACCAGCCGGTTTTATTGTCACTCGGCGGCACGAATTAAAGATTAAAACCTGTTCAGTAGGCTCTTTATGTGAGAATCGACCAATGAATTGGTAAGATGAATAGAAGTGTTCTCAATTGCAATGTATTTCTTTATTTCGGATTTATATTCTTGCATCCTTTGTATTCTTTATACTCTTTGTGTGCGTTTCTCTGTTTTCTTTGTTCTTGTGTCCCTGACCTAAACATTTAAACATCTTTTCTTTTAACTGTCTGCCTGGCATTTTTAACTCTTAGGTTATTTCGGGCAGCCAGCGCCCCTATCATCGTCTGTACTATTGTTATAAATTTTTATTTCTTGTATATTATGGGGTGAAATAAAGTGTTGTTTTTGTTGTATTCTACATTTGACTATCCTTCAGTTTTTGTTTGTTTGTTTGTTTTTTTTGTTTGTTTCATCTGTCTAACAACAGCGATAATAGTGACAGGTCCGATTCTGCCGAAACCAGCCAAACCTCTACCAATCGACCTTGAAAAGTTCATGGCGAGCGCAGGCAATGATGGAGTGATAATTGTTTCCTTTGGTTCTATGATGTCTTCTTTGCCAATTCCAACCGTAAAAATGTTGGCTAAGGTACTCGGTGAAATGAAGCAGAAGGTCTTATGGAAGTTAAAAGGTAAGTGCCACGTTTACTAAGAGGCTACAAAACAAAAACGGAAAAAGAGGCTGCAAAAATATTATCTGTAATCTATCGCCCTATGAAAGGGAATCCAAGACAGTCTTGGATACTGGATTCCACGCCGCGGATTCCGGATTTCAGGTGCTGGACTCTCTCAATGCAAGTCTTTGTCAGTGGAACTTGTATTCTGGAGTCTAATCGTTAGTGGATTTCGGTTTCTTTTGGCTGTGTTCCGGATGACATGGCCTTGGATTCCGGATTCCACAAGCAAAAGTTTCCCAGATTCCGGATTCCACTGATCCTGGATTTTCTATAAATTGGAGGGGTCCACTTGTCGGTTGTCTGGTAAAATTCATTCACTTTGTTGGCAGTCAGTTAAAATTTGCGATCTTTGTCGGTTGTCGGTAAATCTCAATTAATAATTAAAAAACTATGTTAATTATTGATATTTGTTATAAAATTTACCCAGTTACAAGACTGAGTGCTATATAACATGTAAAACTTGTAACTTGTAAAATTGCATCGTTTGGTTGCACTTAAACTTCATTAACTCTGGTTTGTTTTTGCGTAAATACCCCAGCTTACATTGGGCGATTACCTAAGGGACTTAATAGAGGATTTAGGTACTAGGTCTACTAAATCCGCTGCAAAAACAGGGATCAGCTAGGAATGGAAAGTGCTCGCAGCTTTTTGGTGGTTTACACTACTTTCACGGTCATGATTTCCTTATCCGCATGCATCTAATTACGCACGGCACTAATCGGTAAGCCAGCAAGCCAGCAGTTTTCCTGACTTATTTTGCACATCATGAGTCAACCCGAGGTTCATGAAGCCCAGTTGGAAAGCTGGAGCTATAACTAGCCTGCAAATCAAGACGAGAAGGCGAGAAACCTCTCAGAACTTCCTCCGTGTGTAGTCGCCATTTTGGATTTTGAAAGAAGTGCTGGGAGATTGGAGAAAGTAGATAATGCGATGTCTCGCCTCTGTTCCCGCCTTTTCTCTTCCCCTTGTGACTTGTAGTCCCCAGCCTCTAGAAAACTCCTGTAGGGCAGGATAAGAACATGTCGTTACTACCTAACGTCCTTTTGTATTTTTAACTATCGAAATAGGAAATTTGTTGAGCTCTAAGCCATCAAACATCAAGACAGTTGACTGGATGCCACAGAATGATGTACTTGGTCACCCCAAAACAAAGCTGTTTCTTTCTCACGTGGGACACAACAGTATGTACGAGGCTGCCTACCACGGTGTCCCCATTGTTGGCTTTCCTATGTGGAGCGATCAGCCGGAAAACGCGCAGCAGGTCGTGCGAGCGGGAATGGGACTCTGGTTAGACATCAACAGTGTCAAAGAGGACGAACTGCGCATGAACATTTCCAGAGTTATGACTGAAGCAAGGTAAACACATAACGGCCTACATTACCCCCCTCCCCGTCACCACCACCACCACCACCACCAACCCCCTTCCAAAACCTTTTCAGTTCTTTCTCGAATATCAATGGAAGCTATTTTGGTGGTCTTAAGGTTGCTGTTAGAAGGGGCTCTCAATCTTTCTGTTGTGTTAAAAGGTAATTTTTGAGTTCTTTACTTAGCTTTACTTTATGATCATTGAATCGAAAAACTTAGTTATTGGTGTTATACTCCTTGTTTGTTTCTGAGCCGACCATCGTAAGCATTTGTTATTCCAAATGGACGTTATAGTTATTGTTATTATTATTATGAGGTAAGTTGAAGGCGTAAAATATAGACAGTAAAGAAAACTTTCACTTTAATTGCAAACTTCATGGTCAAACATTGCCTTTGATTACTCTCCACAGTTTCAAAAGCAACGCAACACGTGTCTCCCGCCTACTCAGAGACCATCGCCGCACGCCTCTGGAACTAACAGCTGACTGGATTGAGTTTGTGTTAAGGCATAACGGTGCACCACATCTTCGGATCCAAGCCTTTAACATGCCCTGGTACGAAGAGAATTCTATGGATGTCGGAATGTTTCTATTAACTATGATTGCTTCTGTGTTGGCATGTATCATATTGTGCTGTCGATGTGCTTGTAAATGTTGTAGAAGAAACCAACCAAAGCCGAAGGTCGACTGATAATCAATTAGAGCTTTAAAACAAACTTTTAAAACTTATATGATTATACAAAACATCTTTCATCGTGTTAGGAAAAAACTTGTTACTGGCTTCTATTATTATTATTGTTATTATTACGATTGTTGTTGTTGTTGTTATTATTATTATTATTATTATTATTATTATTATTATCATCATTATTAATCCGGTATCAATTCAGTGGATTTATTCCAGATTTGGCGCTAATCAATTTCCTTTCTCGGAGAACGAGAAAGAAATGTTGAGACGACCTTAGGAAACGCCAAACCATCTTTAACAGCCTTTCAACATGTCACGGTATCTCACAGCAATATTATTGTCAAACTGTGTAAAAATGTTTCCAATATTGAAAGTGAGATAATTTTGAAGCAGTGCTGGAAACGTTAACTGGAGTATCAGGAGTATTATCATTGCCAGTGTTCAACCAACACCACAGCTGAGGCTCGATTTTGACCGCTCTCTCGGCTTGCAGTCACGTGACCTGCTGATGCAAAAAAAAATTATGGGATAGAACCAAAAAGTATCATGGCATGAGAAAGCCACTAAGCTAGGCTACTAAGCCAATTTTGAGAGCTTATTGACATAGACGACTAAGATTTTATGGGTTCTGTAAATGACTGCAAATGATAAGCGGATTGCTGGACTGCACGAAGGACCAGAAGGCGTGCGGACCAGCGACTACCACAAAATCGTACTGGTAAGAGTTTAAGTCTAAAAATTAGCAGACACACTGTTTGTTTTATGCGCTTTCAATCGCTGTTACTTTTAGGGTTGCATCCCATAATTTTCTGAATTCTGGCAGGAGATAACTCTGGTAACGCCTATTAGCAAAGGGCCTAATAATTGGCCACTGACTACACTGACGACACTCAAACAATATACTGAGCCAAAATCGATAGAGGCCAGTAACCCTCTCTTGAGTGACCTATATAGTCAGAACCAAACCTAAGGTAAGAGAAAACACGCGCGGACAGGTTAGTTTTGATTTTGATTTTAATTTTCAGATTAGCTTTAAATATTCAATCAATTTAGTGTTCTTTTAAGCTCATCTCGGCATGCATTATGTAGCTATGCAAATTAAATCAAAGCAATCACGAAATCTCTTCTGCATAAGTAGACCAGAGTCCTAGTAGCAGTTAATATATTATTGATACTATAATTAAATGTTGATTAAACATTAGCCTTCATTCGCATCATAAAGCAGAAGTAGTCATTACGGTTGGCGATGGATCTCTCTTCGTACACAAACTTCCAGCGGAACTCGTTACAGTCTGTGATCGACTTGTCTTTAAAATGAAGCTTCCCAAACTAGTCATGGTGGCTGATCTGTATGTTTTTCTACTTACGTTTACCGAGTCATTTAGTCGTGAAAAATCTTTTCGGACTCGTGAAGGTTTCCCTGTTATCTTATAGTATAGTTTAAGCAAATGATCCTTGAATGCGTTGCGATAACTTTCGTTCAAGATGCTGTAACAAATAGGATTGGCCGCGCTGTTCGCAAATGTTATTATGTTACAAAACGCCACTAGATCCCAAAATCTACTGTATTCATCCTCAGCTTTACCAAAGTCCAACCAAAGCCACATGACATTGTTTGGTAAAACACATACTGCAAAAAGCAGTGTTACAACTTTGAGCATGCGTACCACCTTCTTTGCCTCCTCAGCTTGGAGATCTTGTAAATAGCGATTACTACTTTTCGCGCGTTTTCTAAGTTCCCAACCAATGCTTATATATGCGCCCGCGATAATGGTCAGTGGCAAGAGATATTCAAACACGAATAACCATGCTGTGTAGGTTTTTCTCGAATGTTTACTTGGCCAGTGTTCCTTGCACATGCCAGCTGTCTCGCTGTCTTTTCTTAACACACTTATATAAGGCGTAACAGAAATGAGGGACGCTATCCATATCCCAAGTATTATCCTTTTGGCACATTTAATTGTAAGCTGTTGCTGTAGCGGGTGATTTATTGCCCAATAACGCGATAAACTGACAGCCGTCAGCGTGTAAATGGACGCAAAAAGCGACAGAGTTTGCAGAGGGTATATGACTTTGCATAACAGCGCTCCATAGGGCCATTGGTGCCCCATCTCTTGTACTGGAATATCAAAGGGAATACAAATGCAGGTAAAAATCAAGTCGGCAATCGCTAGGTTTAATATGAAATAGTTCGTCACTGTTTTCATTTTTTTCCTCCGCAAAATGACTGAGCAGACAAGGGAATTGCCTACAGCGCTTACAAGAAATATAATGACGTAAAGAGTTAGCTTGACGGCTCTTAATTCGGGCGTCATTTCCTCAAGTGTCTCACTTCCGTCTGTTGCGATGAATTTAGTTGTCGTCGCTGTAATGTTCGGGCTTGAGGTGCTTTGAACTTGGGATTGATTTGGCCCTGTTTCCATGGAGATCACTCGATTATCCAAAATCTTTCCAGAGTAGCTTTGGTTTGTGCAAATGTTACAATCTCATCGTCTGCAAGGAAAAGTAACAGAATAAAGGAAATTAAAGAGATATACGGACTCGCTTTTGAGATGTGGGCGTATAGAAGAATGTTGAGAGTATCATGGACGGAACATAAAACCGATGAAGAAGTTTTAAGGATGGTAAATATAGCAAGTTCATTGTTGCCAACAATAAAGAAAAGAAAATGCCAGTATTTTGGACACGTAAGAGCGAGGTCGATCCAAAATTGTTACTGGAAGGTAAAATTGAAGGAAAGAGAGGACAGGTAGGGGAGACCACGAATTACCTGGATGAAAAACATCAAAGAATGGTTAGGACCCACCCATAATGGATGTGTAAGAAGAGCGGAAGATCCTGGAGATCCATGATAGCCGACCTACTGCAAGTAGATGGCACTTGACGATGATGATACGGACTCGCATTCATCAGACCGGTTTTATCAAGCATTTGTGTCTGTTTAATACCCTTAGCTTACAAGGGATCCTGCCTTATCTGAGTTCACATGACTCAAAATTAACAACCTTCACTATTAACCGCCAACCTGGAATGATCCTAGTGTTACAAATTGCATGTTGCCAACCATTTATTGTTAGGCGGTTTTGTCAAGTCTGGGACATGAGTCTTTTTTGTAACAACTTAGATACTTTTAGAGAGTTTCTATTGATTGTGGTGTTCTTTTGTCCCTCACCTTTTCCATTTTGGCCATGTTTTCTACATAATGAAAAACCAGGGATTAGTCAGCAAAACTTAAAAAACGGTCATTTACAATCTTAGCTTATTTTGTTCAAACGCAAAAGCAATAGTTGTAATTACTTTGCTCCAGTACAGTGATCCTTTGTGGATTAGCCAGTGATGGCTATTACAAATCAAGGACGTGTTATTTCAAATTTATGGTACGTCAAACCTTGCAAGCAGCTGAACTATTACGCCTTAAATCATCTTAGCGTGTTTGATTGATTATGACAAACTTTGTAATCCCTAGCCTAAATTGATCATACAACCCATATGTATATCAAGGGAAGCAAGAACAAGCAAGGAAAGCAGAAAAAGTGGTAATCATTGGGGTTTGTTATGTAACGTTAAACACGTCAACAACGTATGTATGGTTGTGTCAAAGTCTGCAAGCGTCCGTGTTATGACGTCATAGAATTATTATAACGAAAATTAAGGATAGCGATTGGGAGGTATGACGCTTTTGAACGTCAGCAAGTCACCTGTGCTACCTTGGATCTTTGCTGAAGTAAGGTATCTAGTGATTATCTTTAACTTTTTTTTTATATACAGATTTTGACAATTTTAAAATTTAATCATTATGGACATTGAATTTTGAGTTTCAAAAATCTGCAACGTCGAGAACTCGCCTAACCTACCTCGGCATACACTATCTCAGAGTATTTCTTTTGACTTCGATTAATTTTAATTGTTCACAATTTTTCTATGATCGATAATGGAAACCTGAGACTCACGAACCTTGTTGCCGCCACTACATGACATAAAGTCAACCTCCGCCAGCTTCGGCGGGTTAAGAACAATCCCACAATTCGTTTCAATATTACTGGAAAATTTAATAACAATTCTCTTAGTTTTGCTCAGAGAACATTCATTTGTTGATCATTGAGGATTTTAAAATTTTATCATTACTTTTCTTCTTAAATTTCCAGTTCAAGGTTATTTAATGTTGATTTCCTTTGTAAAGGATTTGATGATCGTTAATTCTCCTAGTTAATACGTTACCATTATGTACTAGTGCCAGACAGAAGGTATCAGGGAAGGCCGGAGAAGGTATAATTACTGACGTTACCTAGTTTTGGCGTGAATTCGAACTTACAGACACTGGAAGGACTGACTTGTCCTGGTAATGTAAGTGCGGCTAAAATTCATAGCCTAAGATTAAATTTTAAACATTTTCTCATTTTAATCTCTATATTTTACAAAAATGTCGCGTGTATATGCTTCGATCGTGTCTTTATAGTTTGCTTGTGTCCGACCAAAAGAATAAAAAATTACCCGAGTTAGCAAAAAATCCGACCCAACAGTTCTTTCCTACCTGAAGCTCTTTTTTCTTCTGACTTCTAAAAAGGTTTTCCCACCACAGTACATAAACTTTGTTAAATAAAACTTAGCTTTTTGACTTGGTTACAGCTCGGAAAGCAAAGATCATGGCCGGGTGGAGATTTATTCCTTTAAACTGATAAGTCTGAACCAGCCCATCTCGGTTGATCATCTTCTCTTTACAGCCTCAAGTAATCAGTTATCTTTCCTTGCGTGGCCTCAAGTTGAGGCCACACAAAGAAAGATAGCTGATGTAAAATCGAATCCATTAACCAAAACGTTTACGTTAAGCTAATTGATCTCATGTAGTGGTCGACTTTTAAGATTCGTGCTTGAATGGAGCAACGTCATATAAATAGCAAATTTTCCCCCCAAATTTCCTCATTCATTTTTTGATTACTTACAGTTATCAATTAACAGTGAGAAGTGAACAGCAAATTAAGTTATTTCCATCGCGAGTGTAGTCA